AACTAATCTACGTGAACATATACCAATACATTCTCAACTATACAGTAAAACATTAAGGATAAGCACACAACTTTTCATGAATCTATAAGCTGTAGTAAAGAAATACAATTAAAAAAATTAATGATCACTATATTTCATCCCCAGAATTTTGTGGACATACATACAAATCAAGATAATACAAATATGAATTAAAAATTAAAATTAATGGCAAGCGTTTTTATTGTGCATGTGTGATCAGCAACCGCCAACTTTTTATCGATGCGATTTGTCGATCAGATGGAAATTTGCCATTGAATCCATTTAATTTTGCAAAACAAACCGTTTTTTAAAAATTTTGTATATAAATGTTTGATTTCAATTCAACTTTACTGAAAAAAATATTCATAATTCTAAAAGATGATTTTATATAGCATTCAATCTTTTATTTTTATTTTCTCATTATTTTCATTCTATAAACTAACGTTATCGGAAAATGAACCATTTTTATATAAACGTTCTCCTGAGTATCTTATCAATAATCATTTTTTCGAAATTAGACCAGCAGAGGATGCTTTTTCTCTTGACGTTAATCCTATAAGCTATCCTGATGATTATACATTAAAACAATTATTTTTACTTGCTAGACACGGTAATTATTTATTTATATACACAATGAAAATTACAAAATAAAAATTTGATATAAAGTTTTTTTTTTTGGAATCCATTTATTAGGATCGAGATTACCGAATTTAGACCAAATTGCAGGTTTTGACAGAATTGATAAAGCATTTGCGAATGTTTCTGTAGCAAAAGATTGGGTAAATATAAGTTCTTATTTTTTAATACAGTACAACGTTTTGAAAATATTATTTGTCTATTATCTAAGTAAAATAATTTTTTTTTTTTAGCCTAAACATCCTTTTACCGAAGAAAAAAATTTTCGATTAACTACAAGAGGTAAACTTGAACCTTATTATCTTGGTTTACAATCTCTTAAAAAATACGAAAAATTTTGGAAAAGTGTCGAATACGATGCTGATATTGTAAAATTTCAAACTGTTAGTGCTTTTTGGTAAGTTGTGCATATTCACTAAAATACTCTAGTCCTAAAAAAGGTTACATCTGATTGCAATTAGCCCCAAAAAATTAGAAGTATTACAAATTGTGATAGCTGAAACTAAGATTGTTGAAGTTGGGATTTAAACTTATTTTACTAAGAAATTTAAAAAGTTTTTATGCATATTTTTTTTAAAAAAGAATATAAGTAAATTTTTGTAAGTTTAATAAGTTTAGCGGATCTATATAGGCTTCAATCCCAACTTCAGCAAATACAAGCTTGAGTTACCAAAAGTATATATAACTTATATTAAAATATATTTATTAAAAAATATATTAAAGGATCGGTCAATCGGTAATGTCTTTTTCGGAAGGATTATTTGATGGAACTGGCCCTGTAGGCGCCTGTAAAAATGAGCCAGTATTTATTTGGGCTTTGCAACCGGTAAATATTATGAGTATTATAAGTATATATTGTATTTTTTTATTTATTAATTTTAATTATTCATATTATTTATACATTTTAGGGCCATGATTATATTTTAGAAATGTATAATGCTTGTCCACGTTGGAACCAGACAGTTGCAAAAAATTTTACACATTATATAGAGCAAAATTATGCTTATGGTAATAAGACTTTAGCACCAATAGCAGAAAGAATGTCCAAAAAATACGATATCAATCCACCTCTTGATCCAAGTTTATTACCGTATATGTTTTATTATTGTGAATTCTGGGTCCTTCAATTTAATCGAACTGATACTTGGTGTGGATTACTAAGTGATGATGATCTTATATTAGCTCGATATTATTGGAATATGAAAAGTTATTTTCAATATTCATATGGGAATCCTCTTAATGAGCAATTAGGCTGTGCCTACGTTACACAATTTGTAAATAGCGTTGAGGATTACTTAAACGGAAAATCTCGGATGGTAGCTGATATGAAATTTGGTCATGGATTTACTGAGTTTGTTGTACTTACTACGTTGGTATGTTTAAAAAAAACTTTATATTTATATTATATTTCAGCATTATTTTTTATTTTTTTTTTTTAAATTGATTATTAATATATACTGTTAAATTATAGGGTGTATTTAAAAATGAATATCCACTTACAGCAGATTTAACTCTTGAACAAATAAAAAGCTTAAAATATATAGAACAAAAAGAGTTTTATTGGGCTTCTACTATATACTTTGAAATTTATACTTCTCCAAGCAAAGATGCATTATTGCGACTTGTAGTTAATTCTGAACCATATATAATTCCGGGTTGTGATGGTGAATATTGTAAATGGAGTAAATTTAAAAATATTTTGAGTAGTAAGATTAATTGTGATTTTGAAAAGTTGTGTGCTTATCCTTAATGTTTTACTGTATAGTTGAGAATGTATTGGTATATGTTCACGTAGATTAGTT